CGATTTGGAAAATATTCTTTCAATTTTTTTTGTAACTATTGGACTGCAAAGGTTAGGTTAGCTTAATCTGGCCGGTGCGCCACATATAGATAGTTAGGTCCTTAGCGTTGCCAGCTGGAGTTAGTTTTTAAACGTCAAGGCAGACATCACAAAGGATGTCAACGCTTTTCGCGAATTTCAGTAGAAATTTCAGATCTTATTTTCAAATGACCTTTAACTTCTCGAAGTGGTAGACTCTCAAGCATTTTAGTCGTGTTTTGGACAGTACAGTACAGCGGCAGAGTGATACCCATTTTTTTTTTCATGAACAGCCAGCAGGATATGCCTCCTAAGCAATCCGGTAATAACTCTGCAATCTTCCTTTGGTAGCCTTAATAAGAAGCACCCAATAGTGCAGCCTTCTGTCTGCGGCTAGCCTGTCAATGCTGCGAAGGACGTTTTTGGATGAAATACTATATGGTTGCCACCTGACAGTCTACGTATGGGTTTATTTTTTAATTGATTCTCGTTTCGGTATCGGATAGCTCTGCTTCTATCCTCATCCCGGTAGTAAATCCCGTTACCCACTCCCGTTACCATTTTAGAGCCGTCCCCGAAAATGTTTAGGAATCTGCGGCTAAGTTTAATTCCCTTGCGCCATCCCTTCTCCTCAATCGTTGTGCGAATCCTTCGTTCCTACTTAAAGCTAGGTGTCACGTAGTACGTGCTGCCTGTGCTTTCCGCCCTAATTGAGTTGTGCCCAAAGGTTCTGAAATTGAATTCAGCCTATGGCCGTCAATTTACCTGCTGACTTAGCGAGTAGGTCAATGGGCGGAAATGGCTTTAACAAACAAATTTGTTTAAGCTCTCCGAGAAGTGTAGCGATATGGTACAAAAATTTTAAATAATCTTGCATACTTATAGGCTAGGATAGCATAACTCAAAAAATTCAATGCCTTATTCCGAAAGGGAAGTCGATAAAGAGCCAAACACAGAAGCAAAGCAGCAGTGTACGTCTTGTTGGCCAACAACAAACTGCAAGGTAAAAAAGGAGCAAAGAAACTAACAAGGGGAAAGTTGGCAGTAAAACACGTGAAATGCCAGTAGACAATAAACAACACAGGCAGTAAAGAGCACAAAAGTCACCTTAACTACCAAAACAACGACTGCAATAGAGAGCGTTGGCTAAGCTTTCGAAATGCAAAAAAAAAATTATAAGTGATGAAGAAAAGCAATAATGAAAATTATGCGGCTTTTATTAATAGTGTTGTGTTTTTGTAGTTGTTGCATTTGCTGTTGTTGTTGTCTTTTGTAAGCCAGTTGCCGCCTTTGCCGTTGCTCTCCACGTTGCTTATGTCTTTTATGATAGTTTTTTTTTTTCACCCCACCTCCAACTCCTTCAACTCCATTCGGGCGATACGTGTGAGCTTCAGGTTGCCATTGAAAATTGTAATACCTCGGCCATTGTTCTTCTTGTTGTTGTGGCTGTTGCTCTTGCTACTTTTTGTGGTCTTCGCTCAACAACATGTTCGACGTCAACAGCTGCTGCTGATGTTCTTAATGTCAGCGGTATACATACATACATATGTAGAGTTGTTGTAGTTGCAGTTGAGTTGAAGTTTTCCTGCATACATACATACATACATACTTATTTAGTTGTTGTTTTAACGGCTATGTTTGTGAATTTTGTCTTTTTATTTGTAGACATGTTTTTTTTTGTTTTTTGACTGTTGTTATTGTTTTCGTGCTCTGCGTTATAATGTTGTACTTTATTTTCACTTCACCTACACTAAACTCATTCGCGGTAATGCTTTTTCTTCTTCTTCTTCTTCTTCTTCTTCTTCTGCCTTTTTGGCGGTTGTTATTATTGTTATGTCCGGTCTTTGAGTGTTATTGTTGCTCATTTACTGTAAATCGATAAAAATGGCTGAAAATAAATTATCGGCCTTTGTTGCATCAACGATTGGCAAATATGTTAAGGCACACACAAAGGCATAAAAACGCTTATGAAATAAGTGGCCATATGCGAGCGTTAACCGGCGGAATGTCCGTTGTTGCCGGATATGTACATCGAGGAAATCAAACAAAGTCAATGCAATACTTCGACAGATTTATATGTAGGATTCAACTACAAAGTATGTACTTATGCACTATAATTTTACGAGGTGACCAGATGTTCAGAAATATGTCGATGAAGAAATGTGTTTCTAGAGGAAAGTAGAAGTCTAAGCGTATACATTAGGGCTGTGCGATTATTCGATTACTCGAGCAAGTTGGTTAATCAATTATTCGGTTAATCAATTACTCGAGTAATCAAGATTTTGATTACTCAAAACGATAATTAATCGAGTTACTTGAAATATGATTACTCAAAAAAAATAATTTTGCTCGTTAAAAGAGTTTGCTTTGGAAAATGCTTATTTTCTTTTTTACATTCTGTATATGAAAAAATTTTTTGTTTTAATTTTTGAAAACAGAAACGTTGTTTTCAAAGTATCAAGGAACTTTAGCTACTTTATACATATGTAAAGAGTTGAAATGTTGATTACTCATTTTACTCGAAATGTTGATTAATCATAAAGCAAATTACTCAAATATTTTTGTTTTTGGTTAATCAAAAATCTTGATTACTCGAGTAACTTAACTTTTGAGTAATCATAATTTCCAATTAATCGAATAATTGAGTTATTTACTTTATGATTAATTAAAATTTTGAGTAATCAATTAATCGCACAGCCCTAGTATACATATATCATCTAATTTTTCTTTTGTTGTTAAGACAGCTGACTATATAAGCGAGTCTACGTCAAGCTCATTTGATTTTAGGCTGCAGTAAGAATATTAAGAGGTTGTTAGCTTCGTGCCTTGGGTATGCCAGACTTGATCTTGTAGGGGTAAGAAATTTACTCAATATAATATCCAAAAGAAGTTGGGTCAATGTAATGAGGGTTTGTCGAAGTAAATTTTGCACTTAGTTCAAGATAGGCGATGCTTGGTCTAACGTGTATTTTTTCCTATCGAGGACTGCTGTTTTAGAGATATTACCTTATTCAAGTTGGTAGGGCTCCATTGTTGCTCAATTCGACTCTTAAGTTGAAGCTCAGAACCAGTAGATCTTAGTGCTAAAGGGCTCATCTTAAAAGCTGGTGCCATGGGGTTTGAGACGGGCGGAAGTTAGTTATAAGTGCCCCTCACAACTGTTCAGGTTCCCCGTTCATAATCCTGAGAAGGTGCAATTGTGTCCCTTTGGCGGAGTTACAGAAGCGAGATAAGTCCCTTGAACAGATCCCTAGATTAAACAAGTGGCCGCCTGCAAAGACCCGTCAAAATGCCTGTAATAATTCTAAGCCTCTCCTTGGCAAGGTTTACAAGTAGCCCTTATCTTTTTAGATTGTAACCCCTAATAGGCACTTGGCTTGACGAAGTCCCCTAATGTTTCGTCAATGCAGTGCCCGCAGTTTACTGTTTTTTCCTGAGCGCTTCCTTTATCGTACTGGGACACACCTCGAGGAAGAGCTCCGGTACCATCGGGGTCGAGGCAGCAGACAGCCTGGCTAGCTGATCAGCTTCTTCATTTCCTTCGACACCCATGTTTCCATATTAGTTGGATGGTATTTTACTTAGCAAGGGTATTCAGCTTCTCGATGCACTGCAAGACAAAAGAAGATTTGACCTCGAAGGATATTTCTGACGAAGGTTAATCTCTGCGCATAGACTTATGACATATATTTTCGCTTGCAAAATGCTTGGGAAGATCCCCAAGGATATTGAAAGTTTCAGTCTTGGGCCATGTACGCTCTGGGGTTTTAGAGCGATCTGTGTCCCTTCTAGGCAGAGTACTCTAGGTCGCCTTGCTATATGTTTTGACTTTGAAGATTCTTTCGAAGACCACTCCGCAGTGATTATCATCTCTGGGGCATAGTACTATTGGCAACTGGGAGCCTAGCTTGTCCGTATTCCTATATTCGCCATCTGTTCAGTTGTAATATGCAGTGGCTCCAGTTAAAGTGAAAACTAGTCTTTATACTGGTAGAGCTCTCCTTACTAACTCTGTGCAGGAAAGATAAATTTGTGTGAGTTTATTACCCAGTCATCAAAAAGAATTGGTCGAAGTGAAGTAAATGTAGGTATGTTTTTTTTTCTAATTTTGCCGATTTTATCAACTATTTATTTTCTGCTTTTTTAGTGATTCCATTTCCTTATCTGGCCACCTTTAACCCAATCACGCTATTACCAGCCTGCCTTAAGTCATTTAGTACAAACCAACCATTCAGCAGTTTTAACTTCAAGTGGCAGCCTAAATACATAAATGTATGATTTTTACTTATGTACTTACATAAAAACTTATATATATGTATGCATGTACATACACACACACACACACACATGCTATGTATGTGCAACCATACACAAATACAGTAATACGGCAATAAATTCAATACTTCACATGAATGCGCATCAAATTGGCAATAATTCGTGTAAATTACGTCAAGTGCTGATTTTATTAACCATTCAGATGGAGCGATGAAATTGTTGCGGCAACATAAATACGAAAGCACACATCCATCCACACCACCTGTATTTGCAGTTGTCCAATAAAATGAGCTACCTGCGTTCATTTGCTGCATGCGCGTGTGGCTAGTGGCAGCGGCAGGTTGCACAACAAAAAAAAATAATAATGGACGAAAGCAAGAATGGCAGAAAACTTTCAACGCCGACGTGTAATGTTTGCGATTTATGGCAGCGGTTGTGCTTTATTGGCGCACAAATGGAAAAATATTAAAATGTGGCAAACAACGGACGCACGTGAGCTGTTGTATGTAGTAGTGGCCATTCATGCCGTCATGTGTGTGTGTGTGTGTGTGTGTGTGTGTGTGTGTGCATAATTGAGTAAACGATCGAATGGATTTATGATACGAGTAGGTAGGTAGAGGCAAGTACTTAATGCCTTTAATAAGGATGGTTGTATGAAGTTGGATATTTTGCTTGCTGCTTATTTACTTACTTACTTACACACTTACCTGTAATTCATATTTAGCTGCACGTCGCCGATGGCCACATTCTCGAATTGCGTCGGACAGCAATTCCAGCGGGCCCAGTAAAAGCTGAAATCCTTCGAATCGTAGTGTTCGGTGAAGCGACATTTCAACACCAAATCAACACCTTCACGTGTATCGAGTGATTCATCGGCGTGCGTAATGTGTGCCAGATAGCAGAGTGCTGCAAGTAAAAGAGTGTGGGAAATTTTGTTAGAGGTTGTGCAAAAACTTTTTAGTTTATTAGAATGCTGGAAGAGAAAAGTTTTATTTGGTAGCTATCTTATTCAGAGTCTCTGACTTTTTACCTCCACTTTTTGAACGATGTACGAAATAAAGTTTTGTAGGCGAAAGCGTGAAACTTTATCTGGAGTTTTCGAGTGAAAATATTAACATTCCGGAATAAATATGTACTTTTTTCTCGTTGCTTTCTCCCTGGAATTCCCCTCAGCTAGTATCTCAACTAATGGATTTTATTCGGGAATGTAATATCGACCTCGAAATAGAATAGTTTTTAATCTTATACCTCCTATCTTTAGTCTCTTATAATAGATGTGTAGACAGACGGCAGTGGTAGCTATTCCCGTTAGAACCAGACCCCATATTCAGCCTATTTTAATATCACACAAGACATATTCCACCTCCTATTTGAATTCATTTAGCTTGATGAAAGTGAACAATTAACGTTTCTTTTGAAATCAAGGACACTCACAGAGAGAGTGCTCTGTCAATGTAGGTCCTTCTTAGTCTCCGAAACTGCTACATGAGACATTATATGACATTCCATATGCCAATAAACCAATGACCGTTGATATTTATCCGCTGCCATTACTTTATTGGTACTCTAGAGAAATCCCATAGTTACACTCAGAAACTGAGAAAAATTTGCAAACCTCTTCTAGCCACTTATTTTCCGGGCAATTCAGAAGGCTAACAAAAACTGAGTGCACCAACACTCACTTCTGGAAGCGAAAAAGACCTTGCAAAATTACCGCTGTCGAATGGGCTCTTAAGTGTCTTCATACCCAAATTTTTAGTGAAGGCAGTTAAACCTGTCGGCCGCTGTGGTGTAGTGGTAAGCAGTGCGCGCTTCCACTCCACAATGCCTGGGTTCAAACCCTGGTCAAAGCAACATCGCAAAAATATAGAAAAAAGGTTTTTTCTTAACAGCGGTCGTCCCTCGGCAGGCAATGGCAAACCTCCGAGTGTATTTCTGCCATGAAAAACAGCTTCTCATAAAAATACAATCGCCGTTCGGAGTCGGCGTAAAACTGTAGGTCCCTCCGCTTTGTGTGACAACATCAAGGCGCACGCCACAAATCGGAGGAGAAGCTCGGCCAAACACTAACATATGTGTAAGCGCCAATCTATTATTATTATTATTATTAGTTAAACCTGAACAGCTAGATTCGTCTTAGCTGCCGACCAATCTCAGATCTTTTCTCTTAAAAGCCATAGATAACTGCACCTAAGAGAAGTCAGTGCAAAAGATTGACCTCTGTACAAGGACCGATTTTCTTATCCATAAGGTAAGGTGCCATAGGCTGCCTCAAGTCAAAAAATGAAATGCCTTCGGAGTCTAAAAACATATCCCTTGAATATCCTTTGGGTTTTATAAAATTTTTGGTTGCTGAAATTAGGAACTATATTTTGCAGTTTCAGTAAGATTACAAATTAATTTCTGAACACTGCCATAACCCACAGTGGAATGTAGGACATTAAAAACAAAAGCGTTTCAGTCAGGGCATTGCGGTTATCTTTTATGTTAATAAATTACTATTTTCTAGAAAACCGCACCTGCAAATTTGTGCATAAATTTCGTTAGACTGGCTTGCTTGTGGACAACACTCACGGTCTTCGCCAGGGCGAATTAGTGAGCACTGACGATAAAGTGAATGAAGTGAAGAAATGGACAACGATTTTGCTCGAAAAATCAGTTTTTAAGGTACAATTTGACGCCGTTAGACTTTTTAGGGGTGCCGAGAAAGACCGATATTATGCCAACAATCCATTAAAGAGTTAGGGCCTTATGGCGAATATCGAACAGGCTATTTGAGAGATAAAGCCAGAAAGCATCACCACGATCTTGGAAAACAGGATGCGCTACTACAAAGCCCGGCGAAAAAGCCACATGAGTGAAATCGTGTTTCATAAATAATGGGAATGTGTGCTCTTTCGAATAAACCAATAAATAATATACCGACAAATATAGTATTTTCTTAATTTTTGGGACTTATAAAAAGTAACCATTAGATAGATCACCCAGTTTAGCTCATAATAATAATATGCACACTAGGGCGGGTCAAATTGTATGGGAGATTTTTTTCGCCCTAGAAACTATGGATCTAAAATCAATTTGGAGTTTTTCAAATTGCAAAACAATAGGTTTCTTAGCATTTTGCTTTAGTGTCGTAAAGAAGTGCTTAAATTTTGTATAAAAACATGCTATAAGGGGTTGTTGGTATGAGGAATCCATTTATGCACTTATATACATATATGTATATTCCAGAGGAGGGCGCAACAGTGAAAATTTTCACATAAGTTTTCTTTGAAGCCTACTTTCGCAATTTGGCAAACTCCAAATTGATTTTACATCCATGGTTTCTTCGGCAAACTTGCTTAGAATTATACGTTGGATCTTGCTATGCTATACGCGCATAGTAAAAAAAATAAATATGACCCGCCCTAATGTACACAATTTTGGTTGAAAATTTTTAGATGATGTGAATGAAAATGTGCACTCTTCAAAGTTGGAGTTAAAAAAGTAGATTTGAATTGATTCCTAAATCTGGTTGGAGTTAAAAAAACTAAAAAAAAAAAATCGATTTCAGGACCTCGCTATTTTTTATCATCATCATCATCATTATATAAATAGGCAATCATGTTTCCTTTACACCCCTTTTACGGCTAAACTATACTTCTAAGGTATAAACAATTATATATCATTAGAAAGGTATTTTGATGCTGATGTGCAGGCAATTTTTAAAATTTCATATTAGTTTAAAATAGAGCGAAAAAATCAATTCAAAAGTCACACCAATACCAATGCACACATGTACATGGTTGGTTGCCCCCTAAATGTATGCTTTAATATTGATAGCGAATTAAAGAAACG